GACTTCTACTTAGTACAAAACCAAACTAATACCTACCTACCTCCTCGTCACGTTACGTTCGTAGTTACTTACTACTTAAGTACGGTCCCGACTCCACTCTCTCTCTCTCTCTCTCTCTCTCTCTCACACACACACACACACACACACAGAGCTTAGCTTAGCTCATATGCCAATTCAAACCTGAGATTTCTGTAAACATCTGTTAACCATATCCGCAAATTCAGCTTCAATAGAAGCACTTCCCAGCAATCAGTCCCATATTTGGGAGCATTTGAGAGAGGAAATTCCAATGATTCTTAGCAGAAGACAGTATCAGACTAGAAAGAACATCCAAATAGCATTTGCTCTGTGATGGTAAGCATTTTGGGCAGCTTATAAATTGGGGCACAGGAATCTCATGTGTCTGACTTCTGATTCACTGTGTTAGAGTTCTCATCCTTTCTCCCCCTCCAAAGCACAATCTGGCCATTCTTGAATAAGAGAGGCACACAAGGAACCATATCCTGCATCAAAAGAAAAGACAAAAGAAGGTTTAGTATCCATGAAAAGTCTCTTTTTCTCCTAGGCCTACAACTAGTGCTTCTACTACTAGACTGAATATGCTGAAAGGAGAGATGCAATTACTTGGTTCAAAATGACATGGTTTATACTTCATTGTAGTATTTGACTTCAGAAATATTATTAACATTCAACTAGAAACAGTGACTTCAGAAATATTATTAACTTTCAACTAGAAACAGTGACGATAATATTACTCGAGAAAGCAAATTCAAAAACAAAATCAGAGCAACACAACATGGGTTACACGAATGAGTTGCTGTTTCATGGAAATCTTCAACTCAACCGTGAGAGGGCTATGGTTGGAATTGCCAGCTTATCAAATCTTCGAAAAAGGAAACAATAAACATATGAAACAACATGCAAAAGGATGAGTTTTTACACACGTTACTTTCTAAAGAAAAAAAATGTGCCACATACAGTAACTGAATTTTGCATATAGACACAGACAGTGACTACAAACTTGTTTTCAACTAAGAAAAACTAACAGAGTCACCCTCGCTACCCATTGCCTTGTTTCATGGGTGACCCAGTTTTTATTATACATATTTTTTTATGTTGATTGAACAAGAAAGCATTAAGGTTATAAGATTTTGGTTTCCATTCACTGACAAGTTGGCTTTGATTCGCATGACAAATACTTTTTATTTTAATTTTTTTTTAATTCACAAAGTTGGAAAATTTTTCCCAGTAGACATTTCAACCCAGCAAGTTGACATGGTTTTGGCAGTGACCGACTTTTTTTATGAAAAACTATGGCAGCTTCTGATAAGAAAAGTGAAGAGAATATGTAACTATCAAGTCAAACTAATAAAGTTTTGCACTAATTAAAACCAGATTCTTTCTGAACAGTTAAATGCTGTATATAGCCACAGAATAACGAAGAACTTTTAATAGTAATTAGAGAAAAGGTGCAAAAATGCTTTACACTAACAAAGTCCCGTTACGTTGCAGCATCCCAATTGCCTTCCCCATCTGGAAAATAAATTGTACTGAAAAATAGTGCCATACCCTTAGCTTCACTCCAATTTTCTTGCAGTCACTGGTGTCTACTCCAGAGCAGTCTATTCTCACAACTTCTTGCAATTTGAAAGCCTCCCTAACTTTCTCCATCACACTCACATACACACCATTCCTAGCTGCACATGACATCATCATTAGCACCATTGTTACTACCCATACAACCATATCAAGAATTTACTCTTAGTGATGAAGATCCCAAGTTATGCATCATATCATGCATCCATTAATATTAGAAACAGTATGACCCAGCACAGGGTCATGTTTAGCTCCACTGGGTCCCTCCATCCCTCTCGCCCTTCCACACTCTATTATCACCATGCTGATGACCCCAACCGACAATGATTTTTCACATTCCATTGGAATATGCTCTATTTTTCCAAAAACACAAGGCAGGAGAATGACTTACTGAGTCTCATGATAGGTGGACTATTGAGTCCCCTATTTCTCATTTCCTTAGTTTCTTCAAATGTTAGGCCATCAGCTACATTCTTCACAAGCCTTGGATAAATAGGGGCAAGGGGCTTCCACAACATCAGAGGGATGTGGGGTCGTTGCTTTGGATCATAGTTCCGGCCTCTGTATAGAAGAAGCACATTGGTTCTCCTGGAGATGACTTTTCCACTAGTTTTGTCCTGCATAAAGATAATATTGTCAGGAAATCGGATGGTCTAATTGGGATCCAACAATAGCACACAGGTGAAATTGAATCCATCTCCAGCAATATCCTCATTACTACAAGAAAATCACATGAGTTTTTTAATGGATTGCCACATCTGATCATACTTATATCAAAGGAGAACTTGTCTCAAAAATCATTACAGCAAATGATGAATAGATTGTAGCATTACAACAAAAGTAAAGCTTTTTGAAGTGCAGAATAATAAGCACATTACCATAGAGACAAATAAACATTGAGGTTGCCAGCTACTACCAAGGCTTTGCATTTACCGGAACATTTTTTTTTTTTTAAACTGTTGACTATATACCAGACAACATTATAAATCAAATGTACATTTCTTTGGTCCCTCTTGGTAGAAAAATGACAGAACCAGCTAAATGCTAAATCTAATATGTTCTCACTAACAAGATCCCTTTAATGCTTACTAATAATATTTGAATATCTGACCTCAAGGTGAAAAATAACATTGTCCATGTCAAGGGTGGGCACCCCTAAACACTTAATTCTTACAGCTTCAGCTCTCTTCCAATGGTTATGGATGTCGTCTAGCATATTGTGTGTTACTCCCCCTTTACCTAACACCAATTGCAGTATGCAACATGAGTTATTTTCAGTAAAGAACCATAATTATTAAACGATAAAAACAAGAGTCTGATATTACCTATAGGTGCATTTCAAGTCATTAAAACTAGTGAAAACTTGAGAGGACAAATCTTGGTCTCCCGAATAAATAACTAAATATGTCATTCTTCCCTTTTCATTTTTAGTAATTATTCTATCTCAGTTTTTTTTTTTTAATGTTAATTATTCCATCTCAGCTTTATCCAGAGCGAAACCCAGCTTAGCTTTGACAAGTACAAATTATCCCATCTTAGCTTTGTTGATTACATAAACTTCATGGTTTGAATTGGAACACTGTTTGCAAATTATGGCATTTAATCAAGTCCTAGTTTACTCTTGCATTTCCGGCTTTGGATTTCATGTTGGAGATGCAAATACCATCACTCACTACAAAACAAGTCCTAAAAAATCTAGGCACATTTTTCATCTTTTTTAGTTTCAGCAGGTTAATTACTAAGAAACTTTTTCAAGTGTTTATATTTCTGGGACAAGTTTTTGCAAGAAGAACAGTTCAACCTTTGTTTGGTATTAAATATTAAGATATACAATGTGCTAGATATATCAACAGGTCTCCTCTCTCCTTTCAGCCATGTTGTGGGCAATTATCAAAGGTTCAAGGGAAAAAGGAATTATGGGTTTTGTTTTTGTTTTTTTGGGTTTTGGGGGTTGGGAGGGGTTGAGGGGGTTGGGTTGTGAAGAAATGTTAGCAAAATCCTTTTATTAAATAAGAGAAATACAGGATAAGCATAGAGAATGTGAAAATTGGTAATCGTAGAATCTAAGAAAAACAAACTGTGTGCATCGTACATGTCCATCTTCAAATCATTTAGTCACTCCAATCGAATGTTCTTGTTGGAAAAATTATCTTGCATTATGAATTTCTCTTTTCATTCATTTGGGCACTATGAAGGCTAATGGAAAGGAATGGAGGAGTGAGGTTAACCTTCTGATTTCATCTTTTCATATTTGATCTGTTTTTTTCACTCGTCTCTGTAAGCATAGTTAACTTTTTTTGTGTGTAACACCTTCAACTTAATAAATTTGACACTCGGGGTCTCTGCATTCTTCTTCTCCGACATGTTTTCCGATTATTTACAATTTCAAAACATAATTATTTCAAGTTTACACAATGACCAAACCAATGAATTCATGAACGAGAAAGCTATACACGTATTCATGGCATGCTCAAACTCTATGCCAAACAGCCAAAGAAATTCAAAATTGATGGGAGAGGCTCCTTACCAATGGCATTCAGGGACATTATTCCCATAACAAGCTCAAACTTCATTTTACGACCATGAAGCCACACAAAAGAACATACACATTTGGGAAAACAAAACCCAAAATCACATGAATCAATTAAAGCTTGAAGAATCCAAATTTAGTTAGGAAAGAGAGACACTTCAGACTTACCAAGGTTGATCTGGCTATTGCAATTGTCGTGCCCATACTTCTCGACCAGCTCTTCAATCTCTTCTTCACTAAGGGGGCTCCCCTGAACCTCTTTTAAGTCCACTTCATTCTTTACTTCAGCACACACAGGAGCCGAATAACCAGTCCACTTCCGGTCAAGCCTCCCAGGGCCAAAAGGAGAGAACCTCGGCTCCCTGAAACTGATCGGTTTCACCATTGGATTAGTCTCCGAGTAAGAGTACTGGAAATCAAATGGAAGGTCAGAGTGAACTGGAAGTTGCGCTTTCTCAGTGGGTTCGATGGGTTTATTGTTCTCCTCCTTCTTCTTGTGTTCTGGTGCGGACTTTGATGTGGGGGAGTGCGACTTGATTGGGGAGAAGGGTGGGTCAGAGTCCTGGTCTAGGGTTTCTTGGTTTAAGAGGTTATGGTGGTGGGATTTGGGTCTGGAAAAGGAAAGTGAAATTGGGGTTTGAGAAGAGACGGTGTGTCGTCGCCATGAAAGGAGCTTCAGCATATCTGCGTAGTAGATTGGTGCCCAGTGAGACGAGTAGCAGCAACAATGTTGATTCTCTCTCCATCTCTCTGTCAATCGGCAGCCCGCTATCCATAGTTAGCAATCGTCGTTTAATTAATCGGCGATTTTTTTCAAAAAATCGTCGTTTTTATGGAAATACTTTAAACGGTGACTTCTTTTTTTTCAAAGATTTTTTCTTTTTTTTTTACCCATTTCTACTTTCGTGCTTTTGAATATATATATATATATATATATATATTATTTCAAAAACACCTAAAATATAAATTTTTATCCCCACTGTGTTCTTCAAAGCTACAGTTGCAAATTGAAAGTATGATTTTTTTCTTTTTTTTTTTTAAACTTAAACAAATAGATGCAGATTTCAGTTATTACTATGGAAAATCATTGTGTAAATGAAATATTATTTATAGTAAATCATTGTGTAAAGAAAATCATATATATGCAGATTTCTATGACTATTTGTGATAATTGGTTTTATGAAAATATTGTTTATGGCACAAATTAGAGTTCAAAACATAGTCTTGAATGAGAAGCAGAGAGTGTGACTAAAGGACCAAGTAATCAATATTTTGTTTTTGTTTATGTGATAACAAAGATAAATAATATAGTGTAAACCGGGGTTTAAAAAATCGTCGAGTCGAGTCGGATTCACCTGGTTTGACTCGGGAATCACTACAGGACACGCCGATTCCGCACAAAAAACAGGAATCGCCCGTGTCCAGAGAAAACCGGGCGATTCCCAATAGTAGACTCGCGATTCTGTCCGAGTCCCAATAGTAGAATCGCGAGTCACCTGAAAGAACACGCGCTGCACAGTGCTCTTCACGGGATTTTGATTTTTTTAATCGATATTCAACGTTTTCAGCCTTATGAACGAATATTACAGGCTTTAATTCAAATTTCGAATAATTTTCACTCAATAAAGTGATTAAAAACCACCGTTTTTTATCAACAAATTTGGTTCGCAGAGTGAGTTTTAGGGTTTCCGCCATTTCAGTGATTTCAATAGAAATAAAACTTTATTTTTTGTAAAATTTCAGGCTGAGTGATTGTAAGAGTG